AGAACTATTCTATTCTATTCCATGTTCTCTATTAACTCTGCTTGTCACAGGACCAGTTGGAAAGCACCTGAACGGCAATCACATGACCGTGAGATGCTGTGACGGTCATAAATGTGAGAGGATTCGTGACCAAGCTATTTGTTTTGTTTTTTACACTGTTGTAATTTTGGACAGTTGTTAAAGAAGGCTGTCGGTCAGTGAGGACTATCTGTATTTCCAAGTGCATGCACCCACACACCCACACACAGAGATACAACACAAGGAGATACCACATACTCGGACCCAACATATGTGTTTCTAGCCTGATGGCTTTAACAACTAAACTAAACTGGCAATTGTTAGAATTAGTATTATCATCATGTGGTCCGAATGGGGAATAAGTGATTTTTTTTAATTCAGGCACAAAACCTCCCTCTCCTTTTCAACCTCTCTCCTTTCTTTTAATTCTGAAAGCAGTAAAAAGCGATTAAGGGGAAAAAAAATACCATCTAACTTGCTTGCAATACACTTGCCCTCTTCTTTTCTTTCTAAAATATAAAGCTGTCTGGAAATTACCTCTTTCCCTCTCTAGCTCGGCACCATGTTTTAAATTTGAGCAATATTTTAATTATTTTTAGAGCGGCGTATTTATTATTTATGCATTCACAGAAGAAAAGCGACTATTTGTCAGTCAGTTTTGTATCTTGCAAATTTAATAAACAGCAGCCCTTAAGATAGAATTTCTAAGCCTGCCAAGACTGACAAAAGCCAGCTAATGCGGAAATGTCAGCAGTGAATCTCACAGGCGACTCTGCCATGCCTCTGAAATCGAGGAAAACCAACAAAAATGGACGCTTCTCAACTGTGCGGCCAAGGGAGAGAGCTGTACCCCTTCCACTGCTTTGGAGCTGTGCCATGTCTAACCACAAGCAGACGGACTCACTATTAATGGTGTGACTCTCCCAAAATGGCTCAATTACAATTCTTAGCAGCCCCAGTCAGCTTGGCTCAAAGTGAAGGATACTGGGAGTTGTAGTTTAGCTACATGACAAACTAGCTACCTGCTAAATTAAAAGAGCACAGAGAAGAGCAACAGAGATGATCGGGCTCAAGGCTAAATCATACGTTAAAGGGTTCCAGAAACTGGGTATGTGTAGTCTAACAAAGAGAAGGACTAAGGGTGACAGGACAGTGGTCTTTCAATACTTGAGGGGATGTCACAAAGAAAATGGAGGAGGAATCTATTCTCCAAAGTACCTGAGGGCAGAACAAGAAGTAATGGATGGAAGCTTTTCAAAGCGGGATCCAATCCAGAATTAAGGAACAGTGAAAACAATTAATCAATGGAACATCTTACCTCCAGACGTTGTGGCTGCTTCATTACTGGAGGTTTTTAAGGAGAGATTGGACAGCCATTTGTTCAGAATTGCATAGGGTCTTGTGCTTGAGCAGGAGGTTGGACTAGAAGACCTCCAAGACCCCTTCCAACTCTGCTATTTTGTGTTCTGTACATGTAACTTCCATAGGTTCTCCAATCGTTTGTAAAGCAGAAACACACATAAATGTAAGAATTCTCCTCCCTAATTATTAAGCGTTAGGGTCTCCTTCCCCAGCAAATATCCATCTTTATTCTGAAATGATACCAATTTGTCACATTATTAAGACTTCTGGTTGACTGCCTTTAGCAGTTACATTTTTCTTCTGTTTGTCCTGACTACTGTTTTAGATTTGGAATGGCGGCATAGTCCAACTGGGAATGGTTTCCCAGTCTGACTTAACCCTGCTCCCAAAGATTTGTGAAAGATTTGCCTGGCAGCTTCATTCAGTACTTTACAGCATCCCTGGAAGCCAAATCTTCTCCTTCCCTCTCGCCTTTCAACGCCGAAGTAATTTCCATAACTCAGAGACTTGCCATTGTTTGTCTCCACTCGCTCTTGAAACAAAGTTTTTTGGTATTAAGTTTTCCTGGTCCTGCTGAGAAAGCCAGGAATGAAAGAACTCAAGAGTGACTGACACAGAGTCCCTAAGAATATTAAAGGGGAACTTCCATCTAATTAGCTGCCCCCTTGAAGCAGGGAGCAAAAAAAAAAAAAAAAAAACAAAAACCCAACAAAAACACTGTTGCTTTTCCCCCCCATTCAATTTCTTGAGCCCCGGACTTTTTAAATATGCACCCATTCAGATCTCTGACTTGTCAAAGCCAAACACAACAGGCCATTCAACTGATGTTTGTCTCCTGGGTTGAGCAAAGTCATCAGAATTCCATTGTCATTATCCCTTCTTCCCTTTAAAAAAGAAAGAAAGCAAGAAAGAAAACAAAATACAAAAAAAAAACCAGATTTCATTTTGCCCTATAGTCTTTCCTCAGTTAATCATAGGCTTCTTTCATAAGCTTTTCTCCCCATCTATAAAACGGACCCATATTTTTTTAAGCCGTGCTAAAGAAAGGGCTAAAGTAGAGGTGATTAATTTCTGATTGATATCTGCATGCGTGCCTATGTCTGTCTGCCTCTGTACATGTAAGGACATGTAAACCATCGATCACTTCTCAGGCACAAATTGTCTGAATTGTCTTTGAAATATTTCCCAGAGTTACGGAATTAAAAGACACAGCAGAAGACCAATAAGTCTCCCCCCTGCTAATGCAGAAAATCTCAATAGAGTACTACAGTATCCCTAATAAGTAGCCACCCAATATTTAAAGCTCTTGGCTACCTCCTATACTTTTCATTTCAAATGCCAAATGATAATGACATTCTCAGGAAGTTGTTCCTGAAATTTAAGCGGTTGGTGTATTATCCTTGTTATTAGAATACTGTAAGTGTCTACAGAGTTTACAATGCCTCCATTTTAAACATTACAATCTTCTCCAAATGTTACAAAGTGGAATCATCATCGCTCAGAAGGCTGGCCGACCAGCCAACTGCACACTCTTCCAAAATTCTCAAATCTTTAGTTTTTTTTCCCCTCCCCAAACTCCAGTTCATTTGGAACAAATTGTCACCAATTAATCCAATTAATTCTCATGGTGGTGGTGTAGGAATTCTTTTAGGTTGCTGTTTCGCAGAGGGAGAATTGTGTTTGTGATTAACATCTTGGAAGTAGACTTTATCGGGCTTTCATAAATACAATTCATAAATGGCATTGAGTATGTGTGTTCTGGCTGTGATTTCTCATTCCTGACATTCTTGGGTTGACAGGAAAGGTCTGTTTAGAAGGCTCTGAACACAATTCTAATGCTTGTTGGGGGTCAGAAATTAGATCTTGGTTACCATAACCCCAATCACACTCGAAGGGAGCAAATGTGGGAAATGCTTTGGCATGGTATAATTCTGAACACAATTTGTGCTGGGAGGGGAAGCAATCCCCCCCCCCCAAAAGCAAATGTTTAGAGTACATCTCTCACTATGCCTTACCAACTGCTATGTTGGTGGGAGCTGATGAGAGTTGAACTTCAAAATGTCTGAGGGAAGAGTCATAACATCAGCTTAAACTGACCTGATATACTGTATGCTGCAACTCTTTGCAAAAATGCTATTATATTTTATTCCCTGATCCAAATCCAGGTGGCATCTGCTGTCTCTTGTGCTTGGTTTATGTCAGGGGTCTCTAAACATGGCAACATTTTAGACTTGTGGACTTCAACTCCCACAATTCCCCAGCCAGGTGGCTGAGGATTTCTGGGAGTTGAAGTCCACAAGTCTTAAAGTTGCTAAGTTTGGAGACCCCTGGTTTATGTGCATTAAGGTCCATGCAGATGGATTGCTTGGAAAAATCAAACATTTTACCTGAACATCTACATAGTTTGAATCTTGACTCCTTGAGCCTTTCCAATTTGTTGACCATTTAAGGTTAATTCTAATAATATTGGTCCACATAAAATGAACGTTGCTATTTATTCAATCTTCAAAGACTTCCTCAGACATGTTTTGATGTTGCTGAACTCCAGGTTCAGCAACATCAAAACATGCCAGCTGTAAGGGGAGCTTTATCCCTTTAACCTCCGGAGGGCTACATGTTACCCATCCCTAGCTTAGAGCTACATACGCAACAAACTGTTCTATAAATGGTACCTCTAAATAGAAATTATTCATCAAGCCAACATATAGAGCCATATGTTTGTAAGTAGGACTACGATGACTTAATGCATGTGCTAACAGCACGAATTTTATAGCGTTGTGCATCTGCAGCTGAGATTGCGTTGAAAACAAACAAAAAAGAAACAGGCCGACTGAAATGGAAACTTTTGTTACTTATAATGTTAATGAAACCAGTTTATCAGGCTGCACAGAGGAAGTAGAATATTTAGTGCCATTTAATGTCTAATCATCGTCATTTCTTTGAATAAATCACATTACATTGTCTGGAACCTGAAAAGACTTTGTTTGTAACTCTCCTAATAAAGAGTAGTTTATTTATTTTTATTAAAAAGACACCCTTTCCGCCATCTCTGGCACTTCTGCCTATTGGAAAAGTTGTACTGCATTTGGAACTTCTGCTTGCAGCTCCTAAACTTGAGCATCTTTGCAGCATTTTCACTAAAAATGATCGTGGCAATCTGCAGATGTTGACCTGCAACTCAAAATGATGCACACATGGGTTGTTGTTATTGTTGTTGTTGTTTTTGTTGTTAGAGTTTTTAAAGAAATGGGTGTAAGGAGCCATGGAGATAATTTTGGGAAAGACCACAGTGGAAGGCAGATCAGGATTATTTTGATGGAATTTTTGCCCGATTATGTATTTATTTTTACATAGGCTGAAGCTGTGGCTGAGTTCAGGATAAATGTGGAGTCTGTTAGAAATTAACTTCATGCCAAATAAGAAACCATTTCTTTTTGAGGGTCTCTCATAGAGAAGAAGGGGTCGACCTAGTCTCCAAAGCACTGAAGGCAGGACAAGAAGCAACGGATGGAAACTCATCAAGAAGAGAAGCAACCTGGAACTAAGTAGAAATTTCCTGACAGTGAGAACAATGAATCAGTGGAACAACTTGCCTCCAGAAGTTGTAAGTGCTCCAACACTGGAAGTTTTTAAGAAGAGACTAGATAACCATTTGTCTGAAATGGTATAAGGTCTCCTGCTTGAGCATGAGGCTGGACTAGAAGACCTTCAAGGTCTCTTCCAACTCCTTTAATCGGTTACTGAGGGACACTTTTTCTCTTCTCTGTCAAGAAATTCTAGCCTTTTGAGGGCTGCTTGCATCAAGCCAACTTGTACCACGGATAGTTCTGCTCATTTTTCAATCCTATAATTTTTTTTTTTTACCCAGCTTCATTTGATGCTCTTTATGTTGCCCACAGCTGTCTAGCTCCCCGTAACATTTAAGCGAACCGCAATGAACCTATAAGTCATCATAAATGAAAATGATGGCAGTTGTCGTCAGGGCCTTTGATTAATGGAAATATGGGCAGTTGGACACAGACTAGATGGTTATAAATGCTGCTGTCGGACAAAAATAATTATGGCATTAATAAGGAAGTAGGGAGATAACTGACCTGGGAGGGAGACCAAAAAAATAAAAAAAAATCATTTCGGTGTTTGCACATTTCTGCATCGGATATCGCAGGTGCATTTGTGTTTCCTTGGGGATTCCCCCCCCCCCAAATAACCCTTTTCTATAAAATTATTGCAAGGTAGTTTGAGCCTTTTTAGCTTCCCTTCTCAATGCTTCTAGTTAAAAAAATTTTTTTTTTTTAAATTGACTTAATGTTAGTCCTAACTAAATGCCAGTGACTAAGTTGGCTGTTGCACGTGCAACGTCTGGCAGTCAAAGAGATGCAGAGGGGGAAACGGAATGGGGGTGAAGGGGGGAGCCAGCCCCCGCATATCTTATTATACCTGAAACACTATTCTGATATGTACTAAATATTATGACTGCCACCAGCCCCACCATAATTGATTCACCCACACAGCCATTTAGTCTGCGAGCTGTTCGTTTTACAAATTCTACAATCTTTTAGAAATTCTTTCAGTGGGAAAGATTGCGGCTTCCCTTTAGATTCATTATGGTGATTGAATCCTCTTCAATAGAGAACTGTTTAAAAGGAGCACAACTATGGGTGTCTCACTCTGAGCAAAAGCGCATAGGTTAAAAGCTTGTCTGTGTGGCATAATTCATGGCTGCTATGCTAAACAATCACTTTTTATGGTGACCTTCATCAGATACAAAAAAGGCAACAGAACGAAGCTCGCAGCATATATATATATATATGTATAATTTTTAACAATCCAACCTCTGAAGCTCCTGGAATTCCTCATTAAAGAACCAATTAATAATGTAGAATAGAAGGAGCTTTTATTATATTTTTCCTTCCAGATGTAAAATCATAATTAATCTAAGTGCTAAAAGGGAAAAAAAGGAAGGAAGGAAGGAAGGAAGGAAGGAAGGAAGGAAGGAAGGAAGGGAAGAAGAAACCAGCTAGCCAACCTCTCTGTCTTCATATCACTATAGAAAGTTAAAAAAAAAACGTATTTAAATATTCTGCACACCTGAACCTTGGCCATCCGTCATTGTTATGACTTAAAACATCACTGACTAAATTAGGTTTTGTTTGTATAGAGCCGGGAGAGTCAGATGGCTTGAATGACAAAATTAAAACATGTTCAAATCAGTGGAACAAAACGGCACGAGAAAGGGAGATGGCAGAAAAGAGGAAGGCTGCCCACAGTTGCACAGCAATCCTACCGTGCTGTGTTGTGATTGTGTGTTTTCTTCCTGTCCTCCACAAACACAGGTAACAATAGGAAACCAAAGACTGTTCCTATCCTGGGGTGTGAGTGCCGTTGAGAAGGAGGTGTCTCCTCCTCACTCTTGTTGCATTTATGGATTAAAATATTTAGCTTTCCTGAAAACGTAATCTCTGGATCTCTTTTGTTAACGGAGTGTCAGCACAACACAGAACAACACAAGAGAGGTGTTCCTAGTGCAGAACATCTGGATTTTCGTGAGATGGCTACAAGGGCTTTCAATCCTCTATGCTCACGCTCAAACAGCTGTTTTAGTGTAGAAAGCAACAACTGCATGAGTCTTAATAGTTATTTATTTGTATCCCGCCTTTATTATTTTTGTACAATTGTTATTCAAGGCGTCACACTTACCTAATTCTCTTTCCTCCTCCTATTTTTTCCACAACCGTAACCTTGTGAGGTTGTCCCAAAGGTACTTCTTCCAAAGGGCAAAATGGTGGAGAATGGAAGGATTTAGGATAATTTATTTATTAGGATAAATCCTTCCATTCCACACCATTCAGTGGAAACTGAAGACATTTCTTGGATGAGAAGCAAAAGGTTTTCAAGGAAAGAAAAGAACACCAAGAGAATCCAGTTGCCTTTTGGAAAAAGAGTCTTTGAATCAATTTGGCCTTCCACATGCCAATCAGAGAACAGGAAACAGGAAATAATGGAAAATAAATTGGATTGGATGGAGTGCTCATGACAGCCAGGATAGGCTTGTCTATCAACTCCATCCCACATCAGTTAGCAACCATAGTCACTGAACCACTCACAACCAGGAATCTAGGATCCTTTGGTTGAATGCTCCCAAATTCCATGATATTTATGGTTTAGTTGGAATCAGAACTTCATTGTCTTCGCAGCAACAAAAAAATGAAACTCAAAATAAAGGTTGAAATGTAATGTCTTTGCATTTTGACCCTCAGGAACCCCTATCTCATCTTAACGTCTTTCTCATTTTCTTGCAGTGCCTACATTCTGGCTGTGTTTACACAGAACACGTGACTTGACATGCATTCATCTTAGTTAGTCGCATTTGACTTGATTCAGTGCACTGGGCCAACCCCAAAATGGGTTAACTCGGAACCAGGTAAACTGTAGTATGAGAACACAATCTCTTTGCTGACACATCTCCTTATGTTGTACTCAGAATAACTGCTTCCTGTTATATTATCAGCTCAAATCCAGATTGCTGGGGATGAACACTAACAATGCCTATATATTCATACAGAAAATACTATGCACCAGGTATTCTTATTCACAATTCTACTGCATTTAAATAGGTTGCACATTATTATGTGCTTTTAACATAAATCAGTGGCTGGCTTATCTTTGGGTATGGGATACCATTCCCCAGAATCTTTCCTTTTCTTTTTTTATAGTTCTGCAACCTACCTCGGAAGACCCCTGCCCACATAAAATGGTTATTGTTGTAATAATTTTTCGGTGACATTTATAGCTTAAAGACTTTGTACCATTTTTTTATTGACAAGCCAGCTATGAATCAACATGCATGATCACAATAAAAATGCACAAAATATATGCATTCGAGTGGAGGCTTTGTCAATAGGGCATCTCATTGATCCATGTTCTTTGTGGCTATTTGTGAAGCTCTATACGTGCATTCTGCTGAAAATTCAAATTGCTGACCTGCTTCAGAATCATATTATATATTGCGTGTAGAAGTTTTGATTCCAGCTGTTCAGATGAAAATTGGGTGGATGTTCAGAAATTTCAGCTTTGATCTTTATTAGAGCACAAGTCAGCTCGTGCAAGACAGCACAAGACAGGCAATTTGATTTCATAGGAAGGGATAGCCAAAGTAATTTAGCCCTTGTAAAGATCCAGTGGCCAAGACTAAAAAATTGTACAAGCAGTGCTATACATTCAGTGAATATGACTATTTTTTTTACAACGTATTTTGGAGACCACCAATAAATGAATAGCTTGATCCAAAGTGGGTTCTTCATCTGGTTTAGCCTTACTTGCTAAAGCCAAATTCGGCAATAAAGACTCAGGCCATTTGAAAAACAATCTGTGGGAAGAGATGGAGGTTTTCGCCTAAGTGAAGGTTAATTCCTCTTTAAAACTCTCATTGTGTACACTTCACTTTTGAATGACTCTATGTTGCTTATCTTGACTCCAAAAGATTGTTAGTGGGAAGCTATCAGCTACTATGCTCTTCAAGAGTCCATGGCATGATGGACCTCTGGTAAGGATTTATGGTGAACTAGAGGTTCCTGACAAGCAAGGCTGACATTGTGGTGGATAGTGAATTCTGGCTGGCAAACTCTCTCCAAAAAAGGAGAGATTGTGAGGTTGCCCACTTGTATTCCAGACAACGGCTTCTTGCAAGTAGACTGTAGGAACTTGTGAGTCGAGATGCTGGGAACTGAAGGATTTCAATCAAGTTCACAGCCATAATGTAGCCTATATGGGTACAAGGTTTTCCGAGCTTTTCTTAATCAAATTCAATCAAATTGCTTCTTAATTGCTATTCAACTGTTCAAGTATTAAAAAAATCTTTTGAGCAACAAGTTTTATAATGCCAGGTGTGTTTACTTCAATTCTTAACAAAGAAAGTTTTGAATGCAACTTTAAGGATACATATTAAAAAAAAATTCTTTTGAATAAACAGAAAAAGGTTGGTAAGAATGTTTATTTTGGAAAGTTATAAATGGACTAAGGATTCAAATGGATTTATACAGTTGTTGGATACAAGATGGGTGGCAAATAAACCTCAATAAATAATAATAAATATGTAATAAAGTTTTGAAATTCATTATCAGACTCCTCATGGAAAAAATGTTATTGTCTTGAATTTTAAAAAGAAAAAAATGGGATTAGACACTAGAAAGAAAAAGAAGAATTAGACATTAGAAAGAACCAGAAGAAGGAATAAGGATTAAAATTAAAGGAGAAGAACATTGAAGTTTGACTTAATACAGAACTGAGCAGAATACTTAAACAATTGGATATGTTGAAAGGTTTTTTTGAACAATGGACCCAGAAGAAAATTCTAAGTGTGTCTGACATCCAGCTATTCAGTAGATTGCATTTAAAAGACGTGTCTCTAAGAGGAACAAGTTTTATTGGACAAGACTGAGACTGATTTGAAATGGCTTTAAGAATGATTTAGAAAAAAGTGTTATATTGAATATAGAGCTGAAACTGGCTGACCTGTAAATAATTAAAACAAATATACAAATAATAAATCAGAAGATGGACCTGCATAATTTTTCTATGTTGGAGTTACAAAATGATCTGTTAAAGTTTTGAAAGTCTTTATGAGAATAGACAGAAAAAATAAAAAGAAATCAGCTTCTAGGATATGACATTAAAGAAGAAGAAATTAAAGATCAAGATGGTTAAAAATAAAGGGATGGAATATAAAGTTGGATTATTTGATCAAGGTTAAAATAGATATGTTGTTATGTCTTGCAACCCTTATTGGACTTTTGCTGATCAGGACTGAATCAATGAGGCTTTAAAAATGTGTTTATAGAGAAGAGATGGAATATGGGAAAAAAGAGATCATTTGTTGCATTTTAAGAAAAGGTGATACATTACTAAAATTTGCTTATACTTGTTTTGAGGAAGGTGGAAGTCATTTCCTTTTAGATCAGCTTAGTTTACTAGCTTTTATCTTTTCAATTATAATGTCCGATAAAATTGTTATTAAAAAAAGAGCTCATTGTATGATGACGTTTGAGGTTTCTATAGTATTTCTCATGCTGTCCAAGAGTAATCAATTAAAAAATGTTGTTTTTTTCTGAGACCTATTCTGCACCAAAGAACAGATGGGGGTTTAATTTCAGACTCAGTCTAATAAATGACATAACACAGCCTATTCTCAAGCAGAATATGTCTTTCACATGATGAAGAAAAGCTTTGCTTCCAATCTGTGGTATACATAATCCAGGATATTTACTGTATATTCTAGATTTTCTATGTAGGAGACATCGACTGATCTGCAAATAGAGAGAAGTGGTTGCCAGCCTAATTTACAAGCCAAACTCCTAAGAAATTTGGGCATGATTTAGAACAAAGCTTTGTGGCAGCAACTCAGAAATGTGATAAATTTTGCTTTTTGGATTCATTAGCTGTCTCCTTTACAAAACAAAATATTCCAAGTTGCAATTATTTGTGCATTAAAACAGTAAGCCTAAGACATCTGAAAATTAGAATTCCATGTCAGACTGTGAATATCCCACAAGCATGCTGCCTTTCATTAAAATCTGTTTGACATTTTTGTTATGTGCAAGAGAGGCAAAGGATGCCAGAAAGCTTGATATTTGTGATTACATCCTTCTGCTAATACAAGACATTCAAAAATTGTATTAAAACATTAGCTACAAAAGGCTGAGCAGCGAAAAACAACAAATAAATAGATTTAGCATTTGTTTTTATTTTTAAAAGGGAAAGTAGGCCACCGTATGATCTATTGCCCTGAATAATTTTCTAAGGAAGAGCATCCTTTCTCATCCTTTTCTTCCTTTCTTCCTCCCGAGAAGTCTGTTGGTAAGAAATGTGCTAATTCCCTCTGTGCTTGCTCTCCCTCTTCCCTTCCATCCCCTTTGAAAAAAAAAAAGGAGAGAGGGAAAAGTGCAAATTTTTAATCGTTCTTGGGAAATCGTGTAATGATGGCGAGTCACGTGACCTCCCCCCTGGAAAAAGATATTATTTTGTCACAATAACGCAAGTAAATTATCTCACCGGCAACTTGCTTAAAGGTCAGAGAGATCATCTGATGCAGAAGATGGAAATTTCTCCTGCCAAAACAATATTGACAGCTTATCAAGCAGGATGGAGAAAATACAATGATATAATAGAATGTAAGGTAAGATAACACTTGCTACTGGAGGCAGAAAATATGACATGGCATTTCAATTTTAAGGTTATGTGCAGGATGATATCGTATGGAAACGAGGAGACAAAACTGTGTTCCTTGCATGTGAATTTTATCGTGGCAAATGCAACTACAGTATTTTAATGTACAGTGTGGTTATTAGATGCATCTTAGGGAAAGAAAAAGCTCTGACTTCAGAGTCATTTGCAAATAGATGACAGAACACGAAGCAAGAATAATATCCTTCCTCATTAAACCTAAAACAAAGGCCAGGAACCAATCCTACATCACCTTTCCATTAGTTCAGAGAGAGTTTGGATTTTTGTAAAGGATGCTCTACCTCTCTCCCAGCCTGCCTCCACCTGGATATCCCACAATGAGTAGACTTAACGCTGGACTTTTGGCGGTAATCATGCTGGCTGAGGAATTCTGGGACTTGAAGTCCACATCCCTGGAGTGTGTCCAGATTTTGGCAAGCTCTCCTAGACATCGCCTAGGCTGGGCTGCGAGATTCTATTAGCCCGATCAATGGAAATGAGAATAATCCTGTTATTCAAAAAGCTTGCAATCTGCTGTCCTGTGATTGAGAATTGGTCAATTCTTGGCCAGACTTGAAGATAGAAAAATATGAAGAAAAAGTCTGCATATGTCACTGCAGTTCTTCAGGACTTCAGTGGCCAAAGAATCATGGCAAAGAGTGGAGGAAAGCAAATCATATCATGGACTCCTTTAACTACAACTTATTAGAGAAAGACTTGAAGGAGACCCCTGAGTCAATACACCCTGCACATCTAATTCTGCTCTAGAATATATGGAATGTGCCTTCCTTCCTTCCTTCCTTCCTTCCTTCCTTCCTTCCTTCCTTCCTTCCTTCCTTCCTTCCTTCCTTCCTTCCTTCCTTCCTTTCTTCCTCCCCTTTTCCCTCCACCTCTTTCTTTCTTTCTTTCTTTCTTTCTTTCTTTCTTTCTTTCTTTCTTTCTTTCTTTCTTTCTTTCTTTCTACCTTCCTTCCTTCCTTCCTTCCTTCCTTCCTTCCTATCTCCCTCCATCTTTTCTCTTCCTCCTTCTCTTCAACTTTTCCTCCCTCCCTCCCTTTTTCCTTCTACCTCTTTCTTTCTTTCTTTCTCCTTCCCTCCCTCCTTCCTTCCTTCCTTCCTTCCTTCCTTCCTTCCTTCCTTCCTTCCTTCCTCAAAGTGTAGGTAGAAAAAGATCATGCTGAAATTTTATTGGGAAAGAATGAGA